ATATTGCATTTTATGGTGATGATGGTTTAACACAATTGAATCATGATTAATGAAATTACCAAGTAGAAAAATGCATGTTGACATTTTTTAATGGTTTATTGTGCAGGGAAATTTGGAATTATTTTTTCCTCTATGATATTAGACAATCATCATATCACTTGTGTCATTAGGTGATTCTTCCATTTCACAAATGGTATAAAAATGAGAAAGGGGGGGGACTCTGGATTATTCAATAATTAGGCAGAGTAAAACATTTCTATTTCTTGGCACAGTTTGATTTGAAGGTAGGAAATGCTAGAAGCCAATATCTCTAGCACTCATATTATGACTGTCTTGCTAATATTGTTTCTTAAAATAAAGCATACTTGATTCTCCTTCAAAATGTCATCATTTTCCACAGCTAGACTGTACCAGTTCAAACCTTATCTGCAAACAGTTTGGTGTCCGCGGCTACCCAACACTCTTCTGGTTCAAAGATGGTATAAATGTATGTCATGATTTATATCCTGAATTAGCTGTATAAAATTAAACTATATCCTGAATAAGTTGTATAACGTAAGATTAAATTGTTTCCTGTTAAAAATATGTTGAGAGTTGCATTTTATTTTAAAAATTATTCTGGAATCATTAACAATCTTCTTTTTGGCATTTACCAAGCTGCATCTTAGACTTAGTCTGTGTTCAATGTGGCTTTTTTAGTTGCAAACAAAGTAAGAGGATTTAGTGAGCTGAATGTATTTAAACAATGCTGAGTTAAATTTAATATATGGTTCAAAGGAAGGAGTGCTTTCTATATCAGTGCTTTTGATAGAAAAATGTATACAATTAAATTATTAGAAGGTCTATTGCATTTACAAATACTTGCCATATATTTCCGATCAGAAGATTTATTTTTTTTTTATCTTTAAAGTGTGTAGGAAAATTACTTGTGCATGTTGGGTTTTATTTTACATTTACGTGCGAAAGTGTCTAACTTCATCTCACTGTTGGCCAGAGATTGCTGAGGTGGTACTAGATCCACACCTAAACAGTGTTATTACTGGGTTTTGTGTTGTTTTTTTGTATAAAGTTAGCAGTCTCCTACCTACATGCAAAGTTATAACAGGAGTTTAGTGTGCATTGATGATAGTTGTTAATACTGCTCTTGAACTTACATTGAAGAAGTGTCCTCACTTGTGATTGTGGTATTGTTAATATTAAATATTTTAGCCTACATATTGTTTCAGAATTTAATTTTTTTTTTTTGTACATATAATGGAGCTAACAAAAAAAAATGTGGTTTATTAAAGCTTCTGATTGTGCAGCTGTTGCCTGAAAATTATTGATTTAAGCTTACTTTTTTGCAGCACATGACAACATGTGTCACTTAAAATCATTTATTGTCTAATTTCTAAGTTTCCCTTATATTGTTACTTATAAATTTAAATAAAACTTTTGAAGAAATAAAGGTTTATTTGATTAGAAGTTCATCCATGAAAATTTAGATTTAATTCAAAAATTTAAATCAAGATATCTGTGAAACAAAATTGACTTGGCAAAGGTTGAAATTTCTATGTCAGCGTTTTATTGGAATTTGTTAGGCGTCTGTATCTTTTAAGCAACTCTTTGATTAAATGGCATTATAATTGTTACTTATGTCATTAAGCTTTGAATCATGCACTTTTTTTTTTTTCAGATATTCAATTCAATCTGTATTGCAATATTTAAAAAAGAACAACTCTTAAAATATAATTTCCGTAAAAAAAACCAACTAATATCTAAAACTAACATCCATGACTATAGCCAAACTTTTAACAGAAATTTTGTTAGCATGGCTAAGGTGACTCACTTCAGAGTTTCTTGTTTTATCTGGATTTGATCATAATCTTATGTATTACTTCATTTGTCTACAAGTATTTACTTATATTTACTTTGGTAACCTTAAAAGTTCAGAACTCAACTAGCTTATTGCTTTCTTTTTCTTCTTTTTACAAGATGTATCATAAGCTCTGTTGCTCGGTGTGAGCTCTCATGAAGCCTACAAGCGCCTTTTATTATTATGTTCAGCAAACTACTTTTATTCTCCTGCCTTTTTTTTTTTTTTTCCCACTTAAGGTCAGAGCACTTATATTTGAAGTCCCAGTCCATGGCTGCACTGCACCAACCAGTCATTCTATCAACTCACATGACTTGATTATAAAATCTGTCTGCAACTCAATATTCTATAATTTGACTATTTTTGTTTGAGAACAGACGGATCAGTTCCAGTCGCCACGTACACTTGAAAACCTGAAATCTTTTGTTCAGAAAAAGCTGTCATCAGAACTCAGTCTTCAGCACGGAGAGGATGACCAGAAAGTTCCAGAAGATGGGAATGATGTCCCAGACCATGGAAAAGATAACCCAGAGGTAAGAGAACCTTTTTAATCCCTTCTCTTGTGGATTACCAAATGGGCGAATTACAGCCCTGGCCAGTTGAGAAATTAGGCTTTCCTATCCTCTAGCGTGAAGACTTGATGTCTACAGCAAAAGTAAAAGCAAGTCTCTGGCAACTTCAGGGCTCTTTCGTCAGGGCATGATTACCAAAAGTTCTTAGCTTTTTAAAATAGAAGTAGCTGTTGCATCCAATGTACCAAAAGTTTTTTAACTTAAAGTAACTGAAAAGTTGAAGTAACTATTTAGGAGTCCTGTAGTAGAAATTTTTTTAAAGTGTTTGTTGTATTGTACATTTTGTTAGCGGCATAATCAAGTTGATTTTATCATTTAATGATTGCAAACTCAGTACTAAGTTTGTTATGAAAATTATTACCAGTAATAGGAATAACTTATCAGAAGAAAACAAACTTGTATCGCATAGAACCCATGGCTCATTTTTCATGTATTATATAACATTCTCCTGCAGGGCACAGTTTTTGATTTAACAGATGAAACATTCAAGTCTCAAATAAGCACTGGCCTTGTATTTGTCAAATTTTTTGCACCTTGGTGAGTTTGTTTGTTCTTTTGTACCACTCTGAACAGTTCAAATAAAATACAGACCAACACTGTCAAGTTTTGACTTTAAAAAAAATATCATGGCAATGAATTTTTATCAATATTTAAATGATCTTTAAAAAAAAAAAAAAAAAAGGGAAGCTTCTATTTGACACTTGCTAGTCTATGAAGCTAATGGATAATAATAAGTTAAAAGACTGTCATATAGCTAGCACTTGGACAAGCTGCTTTTATGTTTCCAACAATTGTCAGACCCGTGGAAATTTAAAGTCCAGAGTCTTGGTTAGCTACACCATTAGGCCACTTTTCAGAAAACCTGCATATTTATTTCTCCTTAAGCGATGACCTTTTTGTTGGCTATCTATCGAAACACAAAACCATTTCAAAGTTGTAGCAACACTTTTCAAAACTACACAGCAGTTAGCATATTTTTAAGAGTGACACACGGGTCAAACTTTTCTAAATCTATGAAAACCAAATTTTATTTCATTTCACAGGTGCGGCCACTGTAAGCGTTTGGCACCAGCCTGGGAAGATTTAGCCAAGCTGATGGCTGGGCAGCCAGTAATTATAGCTAAGGTTGATTGTACACAGCATAAAGCTATCTGTGATGAAAATGAGGTAAGTTCCAAGTTGTTCTTTGAAATCATGTCACGTCGAAAGACTAATCATTTTGTTTTCCATGACATCAAGTATTATTGTTTCGTAAGTTGATATCTCTATTCGACCATTGCTTGATAAGTAGTGAAACAAAAGTTGGACTAGAAAAACCATGAATGACAACACTGAAACATGAACAATTTCAATATCTCTCATCAATGGTACTTGCTCTAACTTTGATCTTAAAAGAAAATAAGTTTTATATTGAGGATTGCTTTTGAAAACTTAAAAGTGTTATGGTAATCAGCAGTATTACTTGTAGTGCCTGTCAGTTTTATAACATGCACAAAACCATACAGTGACTAATTAAATGGCTACTGCCTGATGCAGGCAAGAGTAGAGCTCCTTAGTCACCCGAAGAGGTATATTCTCTTTCACATCCTGGAGTTTTTAAATTATTCAATCACTGTAGCCTTTTGTCAGTCATGGTATTAATAATTAGTTATGAAATTTAAAAAAAAAACAACTATATTTGCTTTTAATAAACGGACTATTGTTCCTAAATTATTTGATTCATCCCAATATAAACTGTATCTGAGACCCTCATTTAAAACAAATGTTGAAGAAATTGTTTACTTTTTATAATTTTTATTCTCGCTAATCTATTTAATTTATGATCTCATTTTGTGTTCACCAGGTACGAGGTTACCCAACATTAAAACTCTTCAGAGATGGACAACTGGTGAAGGAGTACAGAGGGGGCAGGACAGTGGAAGATTTGTCCAGTTTTGTCAAGAAAGAGCTGGAGATACATGATGAACTTTAGGACCTGGTCTGTCTGACGTGAAAGTTGATGTTGCCTTGTGCTGTGTGGGTCATGACACAATATGCAGAGCTTCTTTGTGAATGTGCTGAAAATGTGTCCTTGTACTTGTGTAATTTTGCATGCTGCCAACTATAGATTCTTAGTGAGTATCAGCAATCTGCCTGATGTATATAATTCCAAGACTAGTTACTATATAAATAATAAGATGTTAATGTTGTTTTGTTTTGTTGTCATTTGACTGATCTAGAATCTGAAAATATTGAGTGCGTTATTGTAAACATCTAGTTGACACAAGCCTGTATAATTTTAGATGTTTCACCCACTGTTCTTGTAATTTTTTTTTTATTATCAGCGTATCATAATACATTTACCCATCAAAATGGCAAAGTTCCCTTCCCTTGCCACCTTGTTATTGAAGGCATTTCTTCCAAGCTAATGCAGCTCTTCTCTTGAGATTTAAATGTCTTGTTTAAATGCTGTGAGCTTGGGATTTGGTCACCATTTTAAATTAGTGTGTAATTATTCATGAACAAAGCATCATTTTTTTTATTATTATTATTTTGAGTTGTGTGAATATTAATATTTTAAATAAGGTTTAGCCTTTTTTTTTTTTTTTTTTCAACCAACCCTAAGCCAGAATGTACACCATTTATTGAGCTGAGTGAATGGCTCATCCCAAGCAGATTGTTATGTACAATCAATGAAGAAAATGATGTCATTGATGTCCATCCTTCATGTTGATGTCATTGTGTGAAGTATTATGAACAAATAATTGCTCTCCCTTTAGCGTTTCATTTATGATCCAAACAGAAGAAAGGTGTGGAATGCGAAAAAAAAATTGAGTAATATTTGAAGATATAAAGAGCCAGAATACGCAACAGGAATATTTAAAGATGTGAACTTATAATTAAAAAATACGAATGTTAACCATTTTATCTGGGGGCTAAAATGTTTTATTTTTTTTAAATGAGTTTCTAGGTGAAACCTAACAAAACCCAAGAGTTGTCTTAACTTTGAAATGACAAACGCCCCCCCCCCCCCCCCCTTTTTTTTTTCTTTTTTTTTTTTACAACAATGAAGGTAACAACTGTTGACTGTTATTCTTACGAATGTAGCAATAAAAGAAATTAAAAGTTAATACATTTGATACATTTTAATTCTAAAAAATCTGACATCCACTCAAGAATATTCTTACGTGCTGAAGCTTCTCCGTTGTCACAGGGACTGTCAGTCGGTGCCGCAACATTCAGGGGACCTTGGAGTGTTCACATTATTTACATAATTTCAGTGTTTAGATTTCTGGAACACGTTGTTGATGCTTCCCCTGTATATCAGTTTATGAACAAAATGTAACTTGTGTGTAGATACTTTTTTTTTTTAGCTGTGTAAATAGAATAATTTGACCTTGAACTCTAGAGCACTTACTTTGAAGTTGTTGTTAAAAAATTATTTTTTTTTTTAATCTTTGTAAGTATTTCATTCAAATATTTTGTGTAATATACGTTTCTCTTGTTTACCAGATTTTTGGAATTATCAGCTGGTACTTCATGTTCTTGTCTTTATTGTTACCATAAGTTGTAGTCCTCTAGACCAGTGTTTCTCAAACTGTGTTCCTTGGAACACTAGGATTTTGTGAGGCCTGACTAGTTGTTCCATGAACCATTGGAGTAATTAACTCGTAGGCCTCTAGGACTATCAATTTCACAGAAAATGCAGAGCCTCTAGGAAAATCAATTTCGCAGAACAGAAAAATTGATTTTATTAGCTCCTCTTTGCAACAGGAAAAAATTCTATAACAACACACTATGAACTGCTCCAGATTTTAATTTGAAACAAAGATATGCCTACAAAGATCAACCATTAAATGACTTCTGGTCCAAGAGTAGCCTACCACAATATTTTAGAACAAATTACAAATATTTTACTTCCTTGTTCCTAAAATCTATTTGTGCAAAGCAGCATTTTGTAGTTTAATTATTTGTTTGACATTACCCCAGAGATTGGAAATTAACTTATCAATATCATTATGTTCTTCAAAGACTCCATACCATTATCCCCATCAAAGTCATCAAACCTTAATTTGCCTAATGCTAAACAAAAAGTCTTCTGCACAATTCTCAGAATGTGTGAAGTGTTCCGTTAAAGAAACACTGGCCTAGACTAATTCTTTAGGGTTAGTCTACAGTAGAAGTTCTAGACTGCACTGCTAGGGGTAAAACAAAATGTATCAAAGAAACTCATTAAAAATATATTCAACTTCATTGTAAAAGAATTTATTTCAAGGTCAATATTCTATCTTTCACTATTCTAAAGTTATTTGAAAAATTACAAGAATTTGCCTTGTTTGTTTTTCAATATATAAACCAGTATTTTATCATAACGTATTTATATTTTTAGTCAAATTTTATGTTTTTGCTGTTCACTTTTTAATCAGTACATGAATTGTTTCCCTTTGTACAGATTATTTAATGACACTAAATTAATGATGTTTTTGAGATGTCAGCCAGTCAATTAATATGCAGGTGTTCTTGCTCTACATTCTTCTGTCATATGGTTTGATTGACCTATGAACTTGTTTACCAACAGTCCTTTGATGTATAATTGAATGGATGTGTGTGTGTGTTTTTTTTCCATTTTTTCACACTATCACAGCATTGCTGGGTTCTTTCAATAATAGAGGGGGGGGTGGTGGTTTTGTTTGTTTGTTTTTTTACTTTCAAAGTCATGGGTGATTTGATGTGAAACTTTTTGATTTCATGTTTAGAGAACTCTTAAGTTTGTGTGAAAGAAAGTGAAACCACATTTCTCAAACATTTTTTTTTTTTTTGGCCACAGTCAAAGAAATGTTTTAAAATGTAAAAGTAAGTCTCTAGTTTATTTCTTTCCTTTGTTTGTTGCTCTTTGGTTGTTTCTTCTTTCTTTTTTTTTTCTCTGTAAGGTGAAAGGTGGTTGGCTTTACAGAGGTTAAACACACACACCCCAAAAAAAAATGTATTAAAGACCAGCTTATTAAGCACCAACTTGCTTTAACTGACCTGGAAGAGAGCATCTGACAGCAGGCGGCTTCCAAATGAGACAGGGTTCTTACCAAGGGTACAGGATACACGTTTAAGAACAAAAAGAAACTTTACTGCCGAGAATAGACGTAATCAGCGATAAGAGAACCTTATTCGACCACTGTTAGTTATGTCTGTGCTGAATCTGGCAAAATATCTAGGTCACAGCCAGGACTGCGTAGCCACATGAAATACTGCACTTTTCCTTAATCTTTGTAAGGCAAGCTTTGTTATTATTTTATGAACATATGTTGTGTGCCATCCATTCTATGTATTTTGAAATCTCAAAGGAGTGTTGCCACACCTGGGTGTAGGCCTATCTAGAGGGTAGAAAAACTTCCTTGGTGTTTCTATGTATAGCAATATTAAAATTATTGAATTTTAAGGATAAATACAGGTACGCTGTTAAAATTCTTCTTTCGTATCCGTCAAAAATGTGTCCTAACATAACGCCTGCTGCGTCTGCTTAAAATGTTACTGGTTGCCTGCTTCAAGACTTTATTTTGAATTTTTGAAAAAATCAAGGGGAAGCAACACTTGTTTTTGAGTACTCTTGTGTATGAAGATCTATCATTCTTATGTTTCTTCTCCTTTATGTTTCTATCATCTATATTATAAAGCAGAATGTTTTTGTAGGTGTATGTATGTATGTTACGTATAGACATCAAAACCGCTTGACCAATCTTGATAAAACTAGGCAGGAATGTTCCTTGGATACTAAATTAGACCGTAGTGTAGGTATTGTAGCCCTAAAACAGACTTAAGATCCTCAAAAAAAAAATTAATTTTTCCGACTCTATTACAGCTATAGTATTTATGGATCTAGGCCATGGTTAACAATGTTGACATGAGAAAACATCGAAAGGATTTAGACCTAGATCTAATTTTAAGAAATACTTTGCGCAGATAGTTTTTTACTTTGACACATGAAAATACAAAAGAAGATCCATTGATTTCATTATATAATAAAATTAACCTTCAATTTTGTATTTCAAAAGCATTTTTTACATAAATTAGTTCCTGATATCTGTGACTACTGATTTCCTGGCGAACATTCTTTCATAGACATTACCAATTGGTTATACATTAACACATCTCTACTGAGTCTATTCCTAGGTCTAAAACTCTTATTGACTCTAAGATGATAAAACTTCTTTTCGCAAAGATAGTTTTGTGCTTTAACACATAAACATACTAATTATTGTCCGTTCATTTGATGTTTTAATCAATTTAATATTCAAATTTGTTTTTCTAAAGCATTTTTAATACATTCGTTCGCTAAAGTGGCGTAGCCGTGTTGAGATAGGCCTATATTCATTCATGAAAAAAGGTCACGCATGCGCAACACAGAATGAACTCTATAAAAGCCAATTTTTAACTCTAGATTAGTGTAGATTTAGATCTATGTCTACCTCAAGATCTACTTTACACCTTAACACATGAACATACAAAATTAAGTCTATTCATCTCAAATTTTAATCAAATATATGTAGGTCTACAAGCAAATGTTTTAATTTGAAAAAAATAGATTTAAGCCTATTAGCTATTTTTATTTGATAGCTTCATTCACACTATTTTTACATTGACACATTCGCTTTACTTATTACATTATTATTTCCTTTAATTGTGACTATATCGACAGTAATGCGCAAATAAAGACCCGCGGGTCGCGAGTAACATATGTCTAGTAGACTTATATATGTTAGTCTTGGGCGGCCCTTGGGTCTGACTCCTTCCACAAGCTCAGCATATAAGATATCTTTCGGGATTCTACCATCTGGCATGCGGGTGACATGTCCGAGCCAGCGTAATCTTCTTTGTGTCAGGAGAGCATACATGCTGTTCATATTGGCCAATCTCAAAACTTCCTGATTGGAGACATGGTCCCTCCAAGAGATGCCCATTGTGCGTCTCAGGCAGCGCAAGTGGAAACTATTCAATCAGTGCTCTTGGTACATGTATGTTGACCAGCTTTCACTGCCATAGAGGAGAGTGCTCACAACACAGGCGTTGTAGACTAGTATTTTGGTCGCTGTGGTCAATTTACCATTTTCCCAGACACACTTGGAGAGTTTTGCCAATGCTGTGGTAGCTTTTCCTATCCGTTTTGTCAGCTCGATGTCTAAGTCTAGGTTACTGACCATTGTTGAACCCAAGTAGGTAAATTCCTGCGAGACATGAGAGCCACAGGCATCAGCGAAAGTATGTGGGAAAACATAGCCAAAGACCGGAGTGCATGGAGACAAACTGTGCGTGCTGGGACAACCCTTGATGAAAACAAAAGAATTGAAGCGGCCTTAATCAAGAGGGGAAAAAAAGAAAGCTGCCCTGTCCGCTAGCCCTAAATCAGAGGCATACACATGTACGAATTGTGGCAAAGTCTACCGTTCTAGAATTGGTTTGATTAGCCACACCAGATTCTGTCCCGTCTCAAGATTAAGCCAAAACCAGTGACTCATTTGGGCGCATCCATTGCCTTTCGAGACAAAAGGAGCCATATATATAGACTTATATATACTATGGGAAAGTGGGGTAATATGAGATACTAAACTTGTACAATTTTTAAAAAAATCAGTAGTAGATTCCAACTAGGTACTAATATAAAAAAAATGATCAATGACAAATCAAAAAATATTTCTAGCAAACATCAGGCCTTTTAATTAGAAACTTATGAAGATATTTCAATTTTCCTATGGGGATAATATGGGATACTTGAGCTCTGCCATTAAAACTATAAGAAATAAACAAAAAATATGATTTTTTTTAAAGACAAGATAAAATAAAACATTTTTAAAGAATGGAAATAATTTTAATGAAAAAATAATAATATTTAATCACTCTCAACACACAAATCACACTAAAAAAATACTGGACTCAGCCCCAGCAGATTCAGTGTGGGCCCATTTACAACAAGCTACACATTGAATACATTGTTCTCCATGTGTATCTTCTGAGAACAGGCCAATACAATATATGCAAGGAGTGTCATCATCACCTAGGTTGGATGATTTGCCTTTTGATTTCCTTGCTTTGTGCTGACACCTATTGTCTGTTTGTATGATGAGCTCGTCAAAACAGCGGTACATCCTTTGCGCCGCCATTTCCCTTTGCCTCGTTCACAATGTGCCACCGAAAAAGGACTAATGTCAGCTGGTTTCCAGGATTTGTCAAGAGGTTCCTTGTCACCAAGTTCCAAATTTGAACTGCTGGATGTCGATGGTAAATCCATCGCAGAGTTCATTTGTTGCTTCTGAATTTCATTTGATGCAGGTGCTACCTGTATATCTGTCGTCTCGCTGCCTTAAATATTCCCAGTCTTGTAAAATGATTCTTTTGACAGGGCAGATGCCTTTCTTTTCGAAGCCACCAACCGCTGTGGCAAGGCTGGAAGCACGAAGATAGGCTTTAGCAAAAACTGAAGCTATTTGGAATTCGGTGATGACTCGTCCAGGAAGTGACCTCAGCCACACTTGTAATTCAGAGTCATAGTATGTTGATACCTGTTTCATGAATGAAACATCAAGTGGCTGGATTCTGTGAGTGCAGTGTGGTGGTAGACAAATCATTGTGATATGATTTTGTCCTGCCAGGTTTATTGCATCTAATTTTTTTTGTATGTGAGGCATGTCTATCTAAAATTAATAAAGCTGGGTTTAACTGACTAGGCTTGACAAAGTGGATAAAAAGTCTAAGCAATTATGTGAATAATTCCAACTGAATCCACCCAGTCTTGTGACAAGTATAAATGGATCCAGGCGGTGCTCATCATCATCATCAAACTCCATTTGAGTGAGGGCTTGAGAGGCTCAAATCCTCTCTTGCAAAAGCCCTGGACAGAAACCTTGCTGTCTTGCGTAGTGCATAAATGTCGCCATACAGGTCGAGAATTTTTTTGGTTTCCCAGACCTGTCGAGACGGAGATCATCAAGTCTGGGGTAGTCAAACAGAATATGAGGTACGGTTTCCGTTTCCTCCCCGCAGCGGGGGCACCGTGAATTGAAATTTAGCCATAGTCGTGAGAAATATGAGCCAACAATAGCTCAGGCCTGGACAGCTTCCACCACGGGGAAGTGCGGTCAGGGCGCTTTATGCGCTCCCAGACTCCACGGGCTTTTTGGGAATTGTCCCAGCACTCAAACCACTTTTCCATTTCGTTTTTTTTTTAATAATTACAGCCAGAGCATGATGAAAACTTACAGCCTGTTCAGTGGGTGGAGTTTGCCCTCCCTGGTGGGCCAAGGAGTCTGCAACAGTGTTGCCAGTCACACCTATGTGACTCTGTACCCATTGCGTTATTACAGGGGTGACATAGCGTTGTTTTATGTTGTGTGAAGCCATGATGACAGTGTCGATATTGGGAGGCCATGGTCCGGGGCTTTGCAAAGCCTGTAGTACATATTTTGAGTCAGTGACCACAACAATCTGTGTTGCCCTCAAATGTCCTTCGCCGAGTTGAGAGTCACTGACTTTTAAGGCTTCACAGACTGCCATGGTCTCCGCATCGAAACCGCTTTCGCGCCGTGTCTTATGCAGATAAAGTCAAACAGAGGTAACAACGAAACCAAATAACACAAAGCGAAAGGCCAAAAATATAAGATAGTCGACGCTGATAGCAAATGTCGAGCAAGAAGTTCAATAATATCGAAGGGAACTGTCGAGTGTCCTAAAGCTAAATCTCTACTTCATTTACTAAAGCCGACCTTACTCTAGGGCTGCCAAAAGTCTTATGTGTTTTACTCATAAAGCTTAGTCATGATGGTTTTTTTTTAATTCGTCGCCTCATTGTCTCAAAAGTTTCCCTTTTTATAAAACAAGCAATTCCTAATCTAGCTGGTTGCAGTGTAGTGTTAGAAGAATGACTTCCGGTGTATTAATTTACTATATAAAGAAATCATCACTAAAGATAAACACTACTATTTCTTAGTCATAATTTTGGTAACAGTGCTGTAGACATAGCCAGATTTTTATAAGAACAAAATCTGTTTACAAACTTAAAAAAAGGGCATTTACATAGATAGTGTTCTAACTAGTTGATATATATATATAATTAAAAACCCATTAAGCCATTTTTTTCCAAAAACAAATTATAGTAGTGTGTATGGTCGTATATGTAGATATAGTTTATAGCCATAGGTCACTAAGTCTGGGTCAAAGTTTACATGTTTACTACGTGTACTACGTGTACAATTAATTTTTATTGAAGTAGGAACAATGATTCTAGAATTCTATTAGGTGAAGACAAATTAGGAACAATCAATTTTTTTATGGCTTTTAGAATAATTAAATATTATTTAGAATTTAATTAGTTTAAAAAATTAGTCATAAATACACTATTGCTTGTAATTTTTAATGGCTTCATTCTCTATTTATATATATATAGTAATAGTATACAATGTAAAAAGAAATTGTCAATTGTGATGAAAAGAATAATATATTATCCAAGCTGGCATTCAAACATTGTGAATGTCATAATATAAGTTTATACCGGAAATACCTCATCTCACATTTTGGAGTTGAACGAAACTTATGCTTAGTT